CTTCATCAATAATGTTCTAAACAATAATATTAAAAAACACTTGTGTGTACGTGTGTCAGTTTCGGTTTATCGGTTACTTTCAGAAGACATGTAGGATTTAGATGAGGTAATGGTGAAAAGGTAAAACTATTATTAAGACAAGGAAGAAGATTCAGTTTTTAGAAACTCACCATCAACAACGATGATCTCAATATACTGGTATGAAACCTCTTGTGTAACCGCAGCACACCTGTAGCGTCCTGAGTCAGACTTGGTCAGCTGAGAGATGGTCACAAAAGAATATCCACCTTCATAATCAATCCTGTATCTGCCTCTCTGAGCTGAGGCATCAGTTGTTTCAATGAGAATGTCTTCTTGTTCACATGGTTCCTTACAGAAGACCTCCCTGCTTCTATTAGAAGGAAAGGAGCATTCAACTCTGACCTCTGCTCCTTCAGTTACTGAATAGACAAAGACTCGGGCACTGACGAGACCGGTGCTTCCATCCTGCAGAGCTGAACAAAAGATGAACAAAAGATGAACCATCGTTAGTAGTGGTCAGTACTTCCTGTAAGATGCTGCAGTCTGATCACAACACTTCCTGTTTCACATGAACACAGATCCTCAGAGTTAAACCACAGCCTGTGACTGAAGATCACCATCAGCACTGCAGGTTAATGTGACCGTTTGGTCTGAGACCTTTATCCTTTAGACACAAAGACTACATGAAGTCTCCATCTCTTACTTTAAGCTTTACATTAATGCAAATCCTAATAGTACATCATCTTGTTTTTTTTTATGTCCACACTACTTCGACAAAACAATTAGATAGATATATACTTTATTTATCCCAAAGTAAACAATGTTTAAAAAGATATAATCAGATACAAATATAATAAAAAGTACACATTAACATTAGTGGCATGTATATATAGTAAGAATACAAAGCTAAAGATTAATAAATGAATCAAGAAAATATTTAGCAGATTAAATGATTATGAAAACAATCATTAGCAGTAAAAACAAGCATGTACATTATTTATAAAAATAAAACAGTTGTAGACTACCCATAACTTAGTTTTACTCAGCAGATAATAACTGAGCTTAATGATGATGTACAGTTTGTTTGAGGAAGTAAAACATACTTGTGAAGTATAGGTTATTGGTTGCATGGATACTAAAAACACTAACTTTGAAATATTTGAACAACTCGTACTGCTGGAGCCTTGCATTAACTCAATAAATACTTTAAAGGAAACATATTTAATTACTGAGATGAAAATTAAGTGAAGTACTCACAGAAGAGGAGGAAGAAGCAGATCAAAGTGTGACAGACTTCCATGCTGAGACTCTGATGGTTTACCACTGACTGTCTTTCTTTACTGGCTAACCAGGAACTTGTTACTTCTTTAAATGATGAAGGCCCTCCTCCAAACACAACACAGCTCTACTCTCCTCCCCAACGCAGAAACACTATGGTCTAAAAATACTCCATTGGAAATAATGAATTGTAAATGTTAACGCGCTCACAGCTCCTCATATCTGTTCAGAAACTGGACAAAAGTTAAACAAGTACAAACCACAGACTGTCTGTATCATGGTGAATACAGTCGCTGGTTTATTTATGTCTGTAGGCCGTTGTTGTGAGTGTGGACGGTCGGAGCATATACAACGTTAGCTTAGCCGATCTCCATTCAGAAAACACGCATTTCAAAAGGTTTTTCGCCGTCTTGTCTGCACACTTGTCACAGCATTAATTAATGGTTTTAACTAACCGGTATCAGTATGTTGTTACTTTGGCATTATTTTTGAAAACGTGTATTACAATTAAATCACCGTAAAATATGTTCATTTTGTTGTAGTTGTAGCCACTCACGTCACTATACTCAGCCCGGTTGTTGGCTCGGAAATAACCACGATTTTGGAGGGCCAGAAAAACTGTGAAAAGGTAACCGTTAGCCGGAACTACCCCTAGTGGAAACGCAACAAAAACGGGCCAGGTTTGGCACGGCACGCCTAAACCGTGCTACGCGCTGCAGTGGAAATGTGTCCCACATTAGGGAGTGTCCCACATTAGGGCAACTCAACCCTACTTTGTAGTATTTATTTCTTTATACATAGTTCTATCATCTATTTAAAAATATGTATTGTTGTTATTTATTATTGATACATATTATAGCAAAAAAAGGCACACATTTTACACACTTATTTCACATTTTCCTCATAAATAATTGATGTTAATAGGCATGTTTATACTATAAGAAAATGTATCATATCACATTTATTTTACCCCCGTAGATCAATGAAGTTTTTTTTTTTGACAGGCTTTGGTAATACAAAAAAAAAAGACAAATAAATAGAGACAATAATCATTATAACAATTACTTAAGTCATGCATTATAACATAATAATATCAGTTTTACAATTAAATGTGTCATTGACTTTTTCACTAACGCCTCCACAGCATTTATTTATTATTCCATACATTTCTCCTGTATTGATGTATTTATTCGTGTGTTTCTGTATTTTTATAGATTTATTTTAATTATTTACGCTCTTATACGTTATGTCATTTCCGTTCTCCATACACAGTCGATCCCGCTGCAGTTCCATGACTTGAACAGGCGTACGTGGGGACTACTTTCTGGGAGTAAACGTGCGGTACGTGGTAACACTTCCAGGGTTGTGCTTCGGTCGTGAGAAAACTAAGATGGCGTCTCGTCAAGAAAGATAGGATGGCTTGAAGAGAGTGATGATGTTGGTCGAGGAAATTATTGATAGAGACATTAAGTGATCAAGTTTGAGACTTTCGTACACCAGCAAACAAACCTCCGCCATCCAGAGCGGAGTTATATGGAGAACTGAGGCTGGAAAACGTTCAACTTTTAGCTAGCAGTGTTAGCTAGCCAACTGGACCCGTTTTATTTCCAGCGTTCATCACAACAACAGAGGAAGGAGAGCGACCAGCAGCCCTGTCATTACCCGGGACATCGAGGTGTCTTCGGGTCAGTGTAATCGAGACATTGTTGTGCAAGTGGAGTCACACATACTGGCCTTTACTGCATATGAATAACTAACGGTCGCTGGTTGTTAGCCTACAGGCTAGGTTAGCTTGTTTGCTGTTACATTGCTGAGTTTTGTTAGCCACCTAAATGCTAGTTACCTTTAACCATGGGAGGCCTCGATGCTAACGGTAGCTGAGAGCGGCGTTATCGCGATAGAAAAATAAACAGGTTTTTATGGGGCAACACAGTTAAAGGAGATAAATCATAAGACTTTTTTAATAAAACGTATATAACAATAAAATATAGTAATATGTGCATGAAATAGAGCTATACCCGTACAAATGTAAAATTTATAAATAATAATATAGCTGAACAATAGACACAATTCATGATGGAATAGAAATTAATGTCACCAAGCTTACACAACACAGCAATTACAGTTTAAACATGTTTTTAATTATTTAGTTATGGCTCTTCCTGGTGTGTAATGTTAGTTTTAACACCAGTTTCCCCAAGTTTAGACCTACATTTGATAGCTAGGTTAGCTCGTTTTTTCTGTTACATTGCTTCTTTTTTTTACCCACCTAACGCTGGTTACCTATCCATTTGTTTTTAGGGTGATTAACATTATCTGTCCAGGGACTACAGATGAAAAATTGCCTCTTGGCTAACTCTTGCACATGTACAGAAATGTTTTTAATGTGCACTGTCCCTGTTAAATAGATTTAAAGGAAGGCGATAAGTGGAAGGCCTCGATCCTTACGTTATCGCGATAGCTGAACAATAGACACAATTCATGATGGAATATAATTGAAACACACCAAGCTAACACAATATAACAATAACATTTCAAACATGTTCTCAATTATTTTTGGCTGTTCCTGGTGTGTAATGTTACCCCTAGTTTAGTAGCTAGTAGTGAGCTAACACTTGCCATCTTGTGTATAATCGAGTAATAATAACAAGACGTTAATCGACATATAATGTAAGTATTAGCTTTCTGTTATCGAGTGGTTGTGCATTTGTTGTAATTTGTCCCTTTTTTTAAAGCGAATGAATGAATCTAGTCCATCCCACTTGCGAGTGGTGATGCCTTCATGGCCTTCTAGGGTTCGTGGCCTCCACGCCATTGTTTGTCTGAAGGCCTTTAAAGAATCAGACACATGAGGACGGTTTACTCCCAGCATGAGATCGTGAAAAACTCACGATATGTATTCAATAATGCCCCCTTAAAAGACACCTATATTAAGATATACTTTGATGCAAACGCATTACATGGAAAAAATGCTTTTGGCTCAAGTGGATACAGAAATATAGCAGTCACTTCTGTATTTAATTAATTTGATTGTTGATTTACATTGACTCTTAAAGCATCACGTACACCTTTTGCCCCTCTCCCACTCTGGGCCTTGTTGATTCGGCAGAGCATGGCGTTTGTTTTGTTGTGTTGGGGGAGGGGTCTTTAAGAAGGGCCACACCAAAAATCCATATCCTGGGATTATCCAGGTCTCTTGTTTTTGGATATTGTGTTCAGTTTTGGAGGAAATGATAAACTATGAAACATGCAGAGGAACTAAGTGCTAAATATATTTAAAGATGACAATGTAACTGTGCAGTGCTGAACCAGGAAGTGGTGAGAGAGAAGTAAACACATGCAGTGAACTTTTGTAGGAGCTGTACAATATGCTTTTTATTGTTTTTACATACACGTATAAAACATGTTAACCTTTTGACCTTTTAAAAAAAAATGCTTTAGTTTCCCGTTATTGGGAATGTGTCTTTTCTGAAGAAAAAATATCGACCAGTGAACATTTTTGTAGAAGGTTTCACATAGCTTTGTGTACCTACAGTTGCACACTGCTCCAGGCTATCACCAAGACAAATGTAGATCTATTCTGATAAACAAGGATTTTAATTCATTGAAAACTGTGCATGGTTTTAAATGGTTCTCTACAAATGATAAACAAGACTTTCATACATAAAATGCTGTCTGTGATGCTGCGTTTATACCCATCAGTTTATGAACTTGTTTTGACTTGTCCATCTTCAGGGCAATGGAAGGGGAAGAGTTTGTTCCTCCTCCGGAGTGTCCAGTGTTTGAGCCGTCATGGGAGGAGTTTCAGGATCCTCTGGGCTACATCGCCAAGATACGTCCAATCGCAGAGAAGTCTGGAATCTGCAAAATCCGACCTCCACAAGTAAATATTTTTTCATGCTTGCATTACGTTTTCTTCAATGCCATGCCAACTGCTGCGCTATGTGTGACATCTGTAGCATGCAGTGTTGACCATGCTGACATTATGTGCAACGTCAACAAAGTTAATCAGATCAAGTGAGTTGATGTTGAGCAACATTTATAATTCAGCAGGGTAACTATGTAGGATGTTCACACAAAATAAGATATTAAACAGCTATAGTAAGTAACTTTCTTTATACATACTATTATGCTCAGTTGCATTAATGTTTTGTTTCTAACTGTAAATACATTACATTGTTACAAGAGTGACATTACAGGAGAGAATAGAGAGCGTTACTGGAGGGAAAATGTGTCACCATTTATCGTTTCTAGGGCTTCGTGGATATAATCGTGCAGTTATACAGATTGTACTTTAACTACTAAATGTTCGTCACCTTACCGACGCTGTAGTTGTTTCCATGATCTTGTAGGAATGTTGATTTCCTAATCAGTGTATGCCTTGAGTTGTTGATAGTGTGGTACTGCTCTTAAGTAGGATGCCATGACCTTGTTCTTGAGCCTGAAAGCCAGAGTTAAGCCCAAACTTAAGCTCACTATCTCTTTAATCTCCGTTGTCCATGTATATATATATTTGTTTGAGTAAGCACACTGAATGACAGTGATCCCAGTTGAAGCAGCAATTAGACAAGTTGTTTTAGCATTTGGTTCCACAAGTTTTTAATATAGCAGTGTAGGGATGACGTATTTACCCTGAAGTAAGCTGCTGGTTCCCTCGACAAAAAAGCAACGGGATTTCTCCATAGGATTTTGGAAAATAGCTCGAAATAAGATCTGTGAAAACCGACCTGTTTGATAAATGCACGTTTTGTTCAGCCGGATAATCTCCACACGTCTACCCTACTTTTATAATGTTCTAATCATAAATCTAGTCGCCAGAAGCAAAATGCTAACGTTACGCTATAAAGGAACTACAGCCGAGTCGCTGCTTCAACGTCACGCCAACTTAAGATCCATATTCAAACACACAGATTCTAAATGGTACGAGTTGAAGGGTTTGTTTGAACAGTTTGCAGGAGGCAGGGACTTGCTTTCAAGCAGAACACAAACACTTAAAATGGTAGATAAGAAATCAGTTTATTCTCATCATTGCCCAATACTCCCAAAAGACAACTTGTTGAGCTGGTTATAAAATGTAATGAGATATGCAAATGCTTTCCTCATGTACAAAATAATACACGGCCTTACCTCACCTCCGCTCAGACATTTTATCACCATACCTGCACACCTGGAACTAGAGGAGACTGCGTTGTTCCATTAAAGGAAGAGTTCATTCACCCAATCTTCATTTTCTTTTAAAGCTGCACAACAGTGGAACTCAGTCCCAGTAACGATTAGAGAACAAAACTCCTGCAGTTTATTTCAATCTAACTTAAAAACATGGTTAGTGGAAAATCAGCTCTGTCACAATCTGCCCTTTACAACGCTCTCTGTGTACACATGTTCCTTGACCCGTTGCTATCTGTCTGCTTTGTGAATATCTCTTTTTGTTTTGTTTTTATGTTTTTATTTGGGCTGTCAGTCGATTAAAAATATTGAATCACATGATTGTCCATAGTTACGTTATTAACGCGTTAACTTGACAGCCCTAGTTTTTATATATGCTTTTATCATAATACAAGCATCTCTGTTGAGTGTTGTTTTAATGATTGTATTTACCTGTCATTTGAAGTGATTACTTTTTTTTTTTAGGATGACTTTCAACATCTGTCCAGGGACTGCAGATGAAAAATATCCTGTTGGCGCATTTACAGAAATGTTAATCAATGTGCACGGTCCCTGTCAAATAAAAACGTGTTCGGCGTAATGACGTACAACGACCTCGACAACTTCTGTAGTCCTACTCAGCCACTTGGTAACAACCATCGTTTCTCAGACACGTCAACTCTTCTGTCTTTGCTTTTGTAACAGGACTGGCAACCTCCGTTCTCAGTGGAGCTGGACACCTTTCGCTTCACACCCCGCATCCAGAGGCTTAATGAGCTGGAGGTAAGGTCCTCTCTTTCCCCTCGAAGCTGTACGTTGTTGACAGATGATTGAAGCCGTTGATGGAACTGACCCCAGTATTCCTGATGATCCCTCATGCATCTAGGCGGAGACCAGAGTGAAGCTGAATTATTTGGACCGCATCGCCAGGTTCTGGGAGGTCCAGGCGTCCTCGTTGAAAATCCCTCATATTGAAAGACGCATCCTTGATCTGTTCGCGCTGTCGAGGGTAAACTTGAATTGTTTGTTTTTAAATAAGTGTTTGTTTGTTTTCATTTTCTTTCCCTATTTCTGGATTTCTCATCTGGCTTTTGTCTGCTGCAGATTGTGACGCATGAAGGGGGTTTTGAGATGGTGTGTAAGGAGCGGCGCTGGGCTCGTGTTGCTCAGAGGCTCGGTTACCCTCCGGGGAAGAACATCGGCTCTCTGCTGCGCTCGCACTTCGAGAGGATCGTCTACCCCTTCGAGATGTTCCAGTCTGGCTCCAGCTTGCCGGTACCTATCTACACATTCTCATCTCTCCTTTTTGTAATACCAGGGCTCATCAGTTTATAGACGGCCATGAGAATGTGTCCATCTGTGGAAAGTAACCTGGTTGCTTTTAGTATATATATATTAAGAATAAATACTATTGGGGCATCACACAAATCAAAAACAAGAGGATAGTATCACACGCTTTTAGATTTTTGGTAATTTTTTAACGATTATTGGAGAACAATGACCCTCCCTAATTTTCTTGGCAGATTATAAATTCTTTCTGAAATCATAATTTCCTCTCTACTTGGGTTCTATCATTTACAGCATGCACAAATGTCTTTTCAACGGAAAATGTAATTGTATGCTTAGACAAAAATGTAATAAAATAGTATATTTGTGTGTATGTAGCCAATTAGAGTTCTAAATATCTATCTATTTGGTTGAGTTGTGTGTGTGTTCATTAGGGCTGCAACAAACGACTAATTTGATAATCGATTAATGAAACGATGAATCGACTATTCGGTCTATTATGCCTTGCACAATTTCTCCAGATCTCTCGTCTGGATTGGAAAGGTGGAAAATACATCATACAATTTTTTTTTGTCTTTTTGCATATTAGAAATGAGTTGGCGACATTAAGACTGCGATATAATGTTTTTGTATTAATAATACATATGACATATATTTTTTAAATGTCTCCAGTACCGATAAAAAGACCGATAACGTCGGAGCTTAACGGCGCGTAAAACACACGTGATGACGTCACCAACGAATCGACGACTGAATTAGTTGGCAACTCATTTGGTCATCGATTAAGTCGATTAGTTGTTGCACCCCTAGTGTTCATATCCTGCACTTTAACTTATTTCTGTATATCACCTGTATCTTTCCACGTTTGAACAAAAACAACATTTTCCACATCCTTTCTAGCATTACAAGCCGAAGCACTACGACGGAGAGGAGGTGGATAAAGAGTACAAGCCTCACTCCATCCCGCTGCGACAGTCTGTGCAGCCGTCCAAGATGAGCAGCTACGGGCGCAGAGCTAGCCGCTGCCAGCCCGATGTGAGTTACAGCTCCTTCACTTTCTCCTTTCAGTACGTTTACATACCTGTGAGCAGGAACCTGACACTGAACTGGTCACTAAGGATCACAATTCCATTAGTGACACAGATGATCATCACCATACGACCCGATTTAAAAACAAAATGGGATTAGTGAAACTGCATCTGTAAAATATTGTGTTTTTCCAACGGCAGACAGTTATTCTATCAGAGCATGTTTCAAAAGTAATCAAATCTTCACTTTATAGAAAAATAGGTAGAGTAACAATGTAAATACTGCTTAACTAAAATAATGTGTTTAGGTGTGAATTTAACTAACGTGTATTCAGGCTATCCTGACATACTTTTTTTTGTTTGTCTATTTTATTCTGTGAAAGGTAAGAATGTATTTGTTTTAAACTGTTCTCCACCTGTTCCACAGTTAAAGTCTTAGGAAGGTACATTTTCTACGAGCTCTAGCTTTATTTTTTAACCCTTAGATGCCCTTAGAGTGACTGGACCCTACACTCTTCCATAAGTGGGTCAAAAAGAACCCGTATTAGAATAATATGTGTTTTTATGCATTTCTGTCATTTTGGTTAAGAAAAATCACTTGTATAACATTTAGTATTATATTTTGGTTCACACTAAAAATATTTTATATTTAATTTTTCACTATTTATAATTTTACATTTTATATTGTTTACATAAAAAATCGTTTTGAACATATCGATGCAAAGATCTCCGCTATTCTGAGACCCTCACAATATTCCAGTCCCTTTTCAAAACTCATCTCTTCTCCTCTTGTCTACTCATAGCCCCCCCCCCATCAATCCATGCCGGTTGATCAAGTTTGATAGTCCTATACCCCCCACCCCTAACCTTCCCTTATATTGTAAAGCGATTTTGAGTCCTTGAAAAGCCCTATGAAAATATAATGTATTATTATTATTATTATTAGGGCTGTCAAGTTAACGTGTTAATCGCAAAAAAAAAATAACGCCACTAATTATTTTAACGCGATTAACGCATGTGTATTTTTTGTCCTCGGCCGCCCCGTAGTTTCAGAGCGCATCTAGTTTAAAATACCATCTACAAGCTGATGCGATTAATCGCGATTAACTATGGACAATCATGCGATTTAAATATTTTAATTGACTGACAGCCCTAATTATTATTATTATTATATCAGATCTTGCTGTGTGAAATAATCTTCCTGAGAGGTGTCACGTGTGATGTAGTCTGTGTGGTCTACAGTGAATGTATTCCTGACAGCAACAGGTGATAAGAATCAAAGGTTCCCATAGAAATGCATGCGGGTCATTTTTGACCCACTTATGGAAGCTTGGGGTAGAAATACAAAAACTACAATTTCTTAAAATTTATAAAATGTAAAATTTGAATGGCATGATATCCAATGTATGTTTTTTGAGGAATAGCTGGAATATGAAATGATAAAAAAATGTAATTACAAAGATACTTCAAGAAAACCACCTCACCGGGTCCAAAAAGACCCACTTATGCATCTAAGGGTTAAAGTGATCCACACATGTTTGTTAACATTGTAAAGTTTTAGGACCATCTAACTAGGAGCCAAAGGAAAATCATAACAGCGTCCATCATTACAGGCAAACAAAAAGTCGATCAGACAGACGTCTCGAGTGTCTGCTGGATGAAAGATATTCTAGCGTGTTCCATGCTGTCATGTAACCCACTTTCTCCAGTGCTTACCCATGTGCCATGTGCCTGAGTTACATTTACAGGAAGATGTGACGGTGCACTCAGAGCTTCACAACCTTTCCTCCATGCTGCCACGCTACGCTGCATTTTCAGCTCTCTGCTCCATGGCTGCCATTGTTTTCTGCTTTTGTTTTTGTTCCACTTCCCTTCCATCTCGACATACCTGTTTATTTCATAAGCCACAACCCCCCCCCCCCCCTAATATCACCAATACACAAAACCATTATCTCACGCTGGTTACGAGCAGCTTTATTTTCTAAAACCTCCTTCCCATGGTTTTTGTTGACCTACTTATTATACATTGGGAACGTAACGCTAACCAATGCTTAGTTCTTTTTTAATGTATGCTGCTGAAATGCATCTTTTGTTTTGCATATTGTTTTACATGCTGCATTGACGGGAATACAAACTAAAGATTGATGCAGATATTGTTTTTAGTTTCAATGTATTTAGATGATTCACACAATAGAGTGCCACAGTGACGAGTCCTAAAACCAGGAAGTGAGTTAGCATTTCACCACTTCCTGTTCCCTCGTCTCAGAGCCAATGGGATCTCTCCATAGGATTTTGGAAAATAGCTGGAAGTAAGGTCTGTGGTTGAGACACATTGAAGAGACGGATCACGTTTTGTTCTACGACATTAAATCCATCAGCAGTGACCCCACTGGTGATTTCTGAAGAGTTCACGTGTCTGAAAAACGATGGTTGTTACCAAGTGGCTGAATAGGACTACAGAAGTTGTGGAGGCCGTTGTACGTCATTACGCCGAACACGTAAACACTCCTCTAAGTTAGTTTCTGTTCTGCTTGAAAGCAAGTCCCTGCCTCCTGCAAACTGTTCAAACAAACGCTTCAACTCGTACCATTTAGAATCTGTGTGTTTGAATATGGATCTTAAGTTGGCGTGACGTTGAAGCAGCGACCCGGCTGTAGTTCCTTTATAGCATAACGTTAGCATTTTGCTTCTGGCGACTAGATTTATGATTAGAAAATGATAAAAGTAGGGTAGACATGTGGAGATTATCCGGCTGAACAAAAC